CTCTGCCTTGGGCCCCCACCACCAATGGTTTTTGTTCTGGAAGGAAAGTCAGACATTCGGAAGAATGGCCGGGTTAGCCCCGGTCTAAATTAAGCATATTACCCCTTTTAATTAGGTATAAATGCGCTCTTTCCACCTCTGCCCATCCCCCCTCTACCCCTGTAATCATCACACTATTTGTACATGTCCATGAGTTCACAAAAACAACCGTATTTTTTATAAAAGTAACAATTTGTGCCACAATTAAAGGTGCAGAGGGCCAAATTATTATAAATAAATATTCATTGATTTTTTAAAATTATTTTTTTTACTAGAGGCCAGGTGCACGGATTCATGCACTGGTTGGGGGGGCGTGGCCTGTGGGGATCCACCATTTGTGGGAACACCACTCATCCCAGTCAGCTGAGCTGTGCTCCCACAGCACTGACCACCAGGGGGCAGCTCCTGCATTGAGCATCTGCTCCCTGGTGGTCAGTGTGTGTCACAGCAACTGGTCAACCGGTCGTCCTGGTCATTCTGCCGTTTGGTCGCTGGGCTTTTATATATATAGACTAGAGGCCCGGTGCCCAAAATTCATGCATGGGTAGGTCCCTAGGCCTGGCCGTTGATGAGGGCCTATCAGGGCCTTTCAGCTGCCAGCCGGGGCCTTCCTTCATTCCTTGCCTTGTGGTCAGTGCATGTCATAGTCAGTGATTGAACTCCCAATCTCCTGGTCGAACTCCCGAGGGGACACTTTGCATATTAGCCTTTTATATATATAGATAATTATTTATTGTAGAAAGTATTACATATGTCCCTCTTTTTCCCCCATTGACCCCCTCCAACCCAAACTGCTCCCCCGCCCTAGGACCTCACTGCCACATTATCTGTGTCCATGGGTCATGCATATATGCATACAAGGACCTTGGTTGATTACCTCCCAACCACCAACACTCCCTCACCTTTTCTCTGAGATTTCACACTCTGTTCCATGCTTCCATGTCTCTGGATCCACACCGTTTATCAATTTATTTTGTTATTTAGTTTCCACATATGAGTGAGATCATGGGATACTTGTCTTTCTCTCACTGATTTATTTCACTTAGCATGATACTCTCCAGGTCCCTCCATGCTGTCTCAAAGGGTAAGAGATCCTTCTTTTTTACTGCTGCATAGTATTCCATGCTGTAAATGTACCACAGCTTTCTTATCCACTCATCTACTGATGGGCACTTGGGCTGTTTCCAGATCTTAACTATTGTAAATTGTGCTGCTATGAACATAGGGCTGCACACATCCTTTCTGATTGGTGTTTCAGGTTTCTTAGGTTATATTCCTAGAAGTGGGATCACTGGGTCAAATGGCAGTTCCATATTTAATTTTTTGAGGAAACTCCATACTGTTTTCAATAATGTCTGCACCAGTCTCCATTCCCATTAGCCGTGTACCAGGGTTCCCTTTTCTCCACATCCTCACCAGCTCTTGTCATTTGTTGATTTGTTGATGGTAGCCATTCTGACAGGTGTGAGGTGATACCTCCTTGTTATTTTAATTTGCATCTTGATGATGATGGTCAGGGACAGGGACACTGAGCATTTTTTCATATATCTCTTGGCCATCTGTATGTCCTCTTTCAAGATGTGTCTATTTAGGTCCTTTGCCCATTTTTTAATTGGATTGTTTATTTTTCTTTTGTTGAGTTTTATGAATTCCTTATATATTTTGGATATTAACCCTTTATCAAATGTATTATTGCCAAATATGTTCTCCTATGCAGTGAGCTCCCTTTTCTTTTTGTTGATGGTTTCTTTTGCTGTGCAGAAGCTTTTTATTTTGATGGAGTCCCATTTGTTTATTTTCTCCTTAGTTTCCTTTGCCCTAGGAGATGTATCTGTAATCATAATGCTTCAAGAGATGTCTGAGAATTTGCTGCCTGTGGTTTCATCTAGCATTTTTAAGGTTTTACAAGTTATACTTAAGTCTTTTATCCATTTTTAGTTTCTTCTTGTGTGTGGTGTAAGTTGGGGGTTAGTTTCGGTTTTTTGGCATGTATCTATGAAGCACCATTTCCCAACACCATTTATTGAAATGACTTTCTTTTATTTTGTATTTTATTTTTTACATGCA